TAACAAGCACAATTTTGTACTAAGACACCAGGGATTCTAGTCTCAACTCATAAAATGCAAAGACATGCTTACCATGTGACGTATAGCCATATCAAGGGATTTCTTTGAGAGTGTTCTACCAAAGCCTGAGCTGTCTGGGGATGAAGATGACTTCCCAGAGTGGTTACCATGAGGAGAATGTTTGTCCTCTTGCTTTGGTGGTGCCAGTTTCCTCATATTTATTACCCTCTCGACCATTTTTGTTCCAATTAAAACAGGGCTCACATTGTCATTAACTTTAGAATGCCCCCGACTGAATGCAGGAACAGAGCTCCCACTTGTATGACTAATGCCATTGGGAGCCCGTCCTCTTGAAGGAGAGCATGATTGCCGTCTTGGTCTTCCATTAGAACCAGGCTCAACAGAAGACGATCGAGAACTGGGTGCTCCAGGCCTACCTCTAGAGGCTGAAAGTGGTCTATCAGGAAGCGTTGTCCTTAAATTTGGTGGAGCATCAAGTGAGAAACCTGGCATTTCTGAGGGCTTCCATGGTCTAGATTTCACTGTAGGGGACGCACCACGTGATGGCACTGGATTTCTTGCTGTTGCAGGAACTGGCTTGGAAACTGAAGGAGAGGACCTTGATGGAGGAGCTGATATACTAGGTGTAGTGGATGGCATGGACGGTCGACGAGTTGGTGTTGATGCTCTTGAACTTGATGCAGACTTGGGTGGGGGTACAGTGGGTCTGGAAGTTGGTGTTGAAGATCTTGCCATAGACCTTGACGGTGTGGAGGATCTTGAGGGAATAGTAGATTTAGTTGCAGAAATGGTAGATTTAGGTGCAGGAATTGTGGATTTTGTTGTGGGAACTGTAGGCTTAGCTGCAGAATTTGTGGACTTGTTTAATGGCAAGCTTGCTCGAGAAGTAGGTGTTGACGATCTTGAAGGTCTAGGCACAGAAGTCAATGTGGGGCGTCCAGTTGGTGTTGCAGGTCTCGATCCTGGACCTCCTGATGATGAGGGCCTCCGGGTCCCTGAACTTGAAGAACTCAACCCAGGGGAAGAAGTTGGTTGTTTAGACATTAAGTTGCTCCTAGCAGCAGGTTCTGGCTGGGGGTTTGCTAACTATGACCAAAATGAAGAAATAACTTAGAAACACTACGTGCAACGCAAGCACAATTAGTACTCAAAATTCATGAACTTAAAATTACCATGAAATCCACCCTTATTTCAAAAGACTGATAAATGAGAGAAACATCATCGTTATTTCTATTATTAGAACATTCTAAGCTCAATAGTAGTCGAATCTCCTCTAACTTGCATATTACAGATAAGTAATTTTCTTTTAAATGCAGTTTCTAAGTTAAGCAACGTAAAGTTTGACAGATGTAGAATTAATTCCAAAGTTCAGATACTCATGTAACTGCCAATTAAGCTTCATATCCTAAGGATATCTTTTGCAACTTCTCTGATTCCTAATGAAACCCTTGTTCTTCGAAAGATTAACAACAGTCCAGCATAACTATTAATTGTCAGAGAAAAGAAGAAAGTCCTAAAAAACCAAATTCCATATGAACTGATGGCTTCTGCTTTTAAAAGATTAAAGATGGATGCTAATGTTCAAGTCTGTCGACTACCATGCATATAATGATAAATCCCACCCACTTACGCTTAGAATTGCAACCCAGTTGATACACTTAAGGAAATGCTTACTCTAGATTTGAGCGCAGTAGGACGAGCTTTTGGGGTTCCAAGCTGACTCATCATGGTCCTATGTGATTCCATCTCCAATGAAGGAAAAAGAGGAGTCCCAGGTGGAGTTAAAAGCCTGAAAGGAGAATAAAAAAGTTTTTTGTTAAAGCAGAATAAATTAACTAATGCCAACTTAGACAACACTAGTCATTTAGGATGCTTTTTAAGAACGAACACACGTCTGTACAGACTTCTTATTTATTAAAACACCTCCATGGTCATGCATTTCCTTCCTCAGAAGTTCCTACATTGCATAGGTATGCAAAATTTCTAATGAAGATCTATTAGAAGTAAAACAAAGGGAAGGCAACAGGGTTTGGCCACCTTGATAATCACCAACTCACCCCACATTAGGCATGTAATCAGCAGGCCACAGACTATATCGCATACTGTTGGACTTCGTTCCAAAACTTTATAATCCAAAACATTTCATATGATATAATTGGAACAAAACTCAAACTCTTCAACCATCCTAAGTTTAAAGGATATGATTAACCTAATTTAGAAGTTCCATAATATACAGAAATTTTCAGAATCATAGCCTACGATCATTATAAATGAAAAAAAAAATATGGCCTATACATAACATTTACTTTAAGAAAATGTAAAACACATTATGGCATTACCAATCATAATCATTCTTATCATTGTCTGAATTGAGAAAATCATCTGCACCAGTTTTGCGTAGAGGTGCTGGCGTTGATGAGGAAATATTGAAAATGGGAGAAGTTCCGGGTTTCGACCCTGCAATGTCGGGGTTACCAAATTGGAAACACATCAATAATCAAGACCAAAGCCTAAATAAACAACATTCCCAACAATTCAAGCGAAGTACAGATTATCATAGCATCAGTTCAAGTAAAAACACATTAACGATCAATAACACGAAACTTGAAATCCTACATTGCAGTCCAAAACTTAAATATTTGGGCATAAAGAGTACCTAATGGTGCATCGAACTCTTCAGAGCTGTTAAGAAGAAGATCATTTCGTTCCTTTTCGCGCTTCTTCATCTCTAGGAACAAAGCGAGCTCTTCTTCCTTCTCCTTCCTCACTGAGGCTCTCAGCTGCTGCCTCTGTTTCATCATCGCTTGCATTTGCGATTCCTGAGCCCTAAAACTACGATTCATCTCGACAACGCAAAGTCCAGGCAACCCAAGACTAGGCCCAATAATCACAGATCAAAATAATAATAAACAAACTAAAACCTACTTCCAACCACCGCTCAAACAACTATTGTCGCAGAAAACGTGTTGCCGTCGTCACCAAACGAAGTTCAGCAACTGTTAGATCTGAAACCGAGGGTTAATTGATGCACAAATTCGAAGGCTACGAATTGGCATTTTGTTTCACTTTCTTCCAATCGTAAAAGCTGAATAGGAGTGTAAGAAGGGTGAGAAAGATGAAATCTTGAACTGTCCTCATCTGTAAGGAACCGCCATTGTTGAGGAACGGAGCTCAAGTGTGTGGAAGCTTAGAGGAGAAGAGAGATTGAGCTTCAAGGAACCGCCATTTTGCAAAGCTCAGCTCGAAACGCAGGTGAGTCGAGTAGAAGTTGTAGAGGGAATCCTTGGAAGATCGGAGATTTCACAGTGGAGAGAGAGTGAGGGGGAAGAGGAGTGGTATCGAATGGTAATTTAGGAAAGAGTTGGAGTCTGAAATGGGGAAAATGAACGGAAATGCACCGTGCAGCTCTCGTTGTTTCTCTCACTTAAAGCCTACGTTTTCAGGTTGTGGCTTTTGGTGGGTAAATAATCACGATAATGCCCTCTTTTCTAATTTATTTCATTTTTGTTTTGAAATTTGAAGTGGTTGTATTTGCAGTTAAGCCCATGTACTTTTATGTAATTCTGATAGATGCCGTCGAGAATTGTCTTGGTTCTGTCAAGATGAATATTGTTTTTGTTTGGATGTCCCGTAGATCATACTCCAGAGTTACATTGTCAGATTATCTAGGGGTGGGCACAGTTCATATTGGATCAATTTCACTTTAAAATTGTTATTGGAGCAATTACAATACAACGATTTAATTTAGTTCGGTTTTGAAAAAAATTATAGAAGAAATCAATACTCACCTCACCTTGGATGATAAAGAGGTTTTCCTATTCTTTTTCTTTTTCCTAATGTTTTCTAAAAAGGCAATGATTTCCCCACTCCTATTTTATCCACTTACACTCCTTTTTTATAAAATGAGTGTAAGTAGATAAAATAGGAGAAAAAGGAGTGGGGAAATCACCACTCTTCTAAAATAGGTCTTTTTTGTTGATTTGTATGAGATGTATTATAATATTTGATGGATTTTAAATTTTAGATCTCTTAATTAAACGAAATATATAAATGACTATTAACTATATTATCTCTCGATTATTTTCGAAAAATGTCTGCCTTTTTTCTTTTGATATATCTCTAATAATAGCTACTTATGGTTTTCCAAATCAATCAAATTTAAATTCGGCTTGTATTAGAGGATTAGTTCGTTCAACAATCAACTCTTGATTTAGTGATATTTTTCTTTTCAAATTGAGAGATACCTAAAGTTCAACTCTCCTTCTCTTACACTCAATGTTCACACAATTTGAAGTATTGCTAGTTGAACTTTCATGATAAGAAAACTGTTGTTATGTCTTGCCTTTTGTTTATTAGACAATAGGAAAGGGTGTTTAGAACTATTGGCATCATAATATATTACCTTCAAACAAAAAATACTGCATTGTATATTTTTAATTTGTATGAATGACATGGTTTGATTTCATATTAAATTTACTGGTGAATTAAATATTATATACTAAATTAATTTCAAAAACCACGTTTGGACCGAACCAATATGGTTTGATTCACTTCCGAAAACTTATCCACTGCAAATTTACTTACAAGTAATGGAAATCATAAGAAAGATAAATGATTTTTATTATCGAACTTCTACTGCATTTAATATGTAGACCCCAACTTAAAATCTTTAATTAAATACTGAAAAAATGAAAGATCGAATCCACTGCAAATTTACTTACAAGAATGGAAATCATAAGAAAGAGAAATGATTTTTATTATCGAACTTCTACTGCATTTAATATGTAGACCCCAACTTAAAATCTTTAATTAAATACTGAAAAAATGAAAGATCGAATCAATTAAGAGGGGTAGTTGATGCGATACCTATTTCTTGTTTATTATATTTCATTTCTTTGTATTCCCATTACATTACATGTAAGTAAATATCAAATCACACATTACGGTTTGGATGGTTTCCTTTTGCGTTTTGGTCGCCCGTGGATTTCTTTTTGGGAGAGGAAAGAAAATGAAAAAAAAAATAAAGAGAATAACGTGCTGAAAGAAGATGAGTAATTGTACTTAAATTCACCAGCAAGTTCCCGAGTCTCTGCTCCTCCATTTGTCCGCAGAAAATAAAATATTTTAAATACTATATAAAAATCAAGTCAGATATAGAAATGAATTAACAATTAAGTTGAATTGAAAATCGGCCGCCGAGATCAGAAGGAGAGGGTCGCACGGTTGGTACGCGCACCACGACGTCGTTCGGAAGGCAAGACGCGGTCCAGAGTTTCCGATGCAAAAGCAGAACTGAGCTGGGCTGAGAGGATCAAATCGGAAATGGCGGGGAAGACGAAGAAAAGCGAGGCAAGCAGTAGCAGCAGCAGAAACAGCAGCCGTAGCAGTAACCACAGAGAGGAAAGCGTGGTGGTCGATTATGGTAAAAACAAAAGCTCTTGCGGCTATTGCAAATCGTCTGCTCGCTCCAGTATCTCTCATGGTCCGTCTTTCTGATTCTAATCAACCCTTTCTCTCTCTTCCGTTTTGTGTTTATCTGTGCTTGATCAAGTTTTCGCTTATAACTTCATAATTTGGTTGTTCTTGCTAAAATTTGAACAGGTTTAGGAATTTAATTGTATGGTTTAATTTGAAATTTGAAATCGTCGTGCTTGTTCCTATCTGCTAACAAGTTATGAGATTTCTAAAAGCAATGCGAATTTGGCGGACTTTTTAGCACAAACATTCATATGTCTTTTATGTGATTAGTCATCGCCTGTGTTTAAGTTATTTTGCTCCTTTTTACGTGCATTTGATATTTTTGATACATTTTTAATGCGTCTTTGGTTAAACAGGATTGGGGACACAAAGCATTACGATCAATGACTACCAAGGTTGGTTTTCTCTTGGATTCTCGTTATATTTTGTGAACAATATTATTGTTATCGTATTGGTAACCATGATAAAGAACCTCTCTTGATCAAAATGTTATCATTTTAGTGACTACAGTCGTACCTTGAATTTTTTTTGTTTATATTTTATGTGTCTCTTGCTAGACCTTCTTGACCGGGGTTGGAGAAGATCTGGTTGTTTCCTTTACAAACCTGAGATGGAAAAAACATGCTGCCCTGCTTATACTATTCGTCTGAAGGCTGGTGATTTTGTTCCTTCTAAAGAGCAACTTCGGGTGTCTAGGCGAATGCAAAGGTATTGTTATGTTGCCTTTTATTACACTCCACCTTGTCATTAAACTTCTAGAAAAACGTATGTTTATTCTGGTTTATATATTTTATCCTGATTCACTGCAAATGATATATGCCTAGGTTTTTAGAAGGTACCTTGGATTGTAAAAGACCAGTGGAGTCTGTAGAGGATCCAAATGCTTCTACGGACACATGCAGCCGTACCCATCTTGGAGTTTCAAGCTTAGCTGTGAAGGAATCCTCTTCCAATAACAATGAAGAGAAGGATGGGGAAGAAAACATTATGCGATTCTTATCAGATCAAGTTGGTAACGTAGTTCATGCTTGCTCTGAAAGTGGGGAATTTCCTGACATTCAATTTCCAAAGGCTTCCGTTAAAAAGGTTTCACAAGCCAAAAGAAAGATTTTGGGCAAAGGATCAGAAGATCTCTTATACTCGACCAATATTGCTTTCCAAATAGCGGCTACTATAAAGCGGTCTCTACCAGATCAGAAGGACGGCAACCAGGGAAGATTGTTGAGGAATATTACAGATGAAAATGGGCCATCTCCAAAGCTTATTGCTGAAAAGCTAGAAAGTTTCTTGAATCAGTTGGCAAAAACTTCTGGTCTGTCAGTCAGGGCTTGCAATGGACACTTAAATTTTTATTCTGCCGCAAAACATGCTTCCGCATATGAAAGTTCTCAAACTGTTAGTGTCTCTAAAGTATCTGCTGCCAGTTCTGAAAGTAAAGGGTGCAGTTTGAAAAATAGCTCTGAAAATACTCAGGTAAAGAGGCGGAGGCTCGAGATTCATTTGAAAAGGTCCAGTTTTGATTCAGAAGAGTATGCCTTGTATAGACGGTATCAAATGATGGTTCATAATGATACCCCTGATCATGTTACGGAAAGCTCATATAAGAGGTTCTTGGTTGATACTCCCTTAATATTTGTTCCTCCAACTGGTGATGGTACAGTTCCACCTTGTGGCTTTGGCTCTTTCCATCAGCAATATGTGATTGATGGAAAGCTTGTTGCAGTCGGTGTTATAGATATCCTCCCTAGATGTTTGTCAAGTAAATATTTATTCTGGGACCCAGATTTTGCCTTCCTATCACCTGGGAAGTATTCAGCACTGCAAGAAATAAGTTGGGTGAAAGAGAATCAAGCCCATTGCTCCACTCTTCAGTATTATTATCTCGGTTATTACATTCACTCTTGCAGTAAGATGAGATACAAAGCAGCATATTCCCCATCTGAGCTACTCTGCCCTCTACGTTACCAGTAAGTTCCCCTTTGCATATACCAGCTGACCATGGAAAGCTGTTAAGAGTTTCACTTTACTAATTAGGTTGAAAACAAGTAAGGTTGAAAATTTTCATTTGTACATTTGTGGTTGATATGCCTGCTTTGAACTGTACATTTTGTCTACCATGGTTAATCATTTTTGTGGAGGGCATCCAGGTTGAGATTACAAATAATCTAGTTGAGGTGGTTACACAAGCACACTGGGAAATGGGAGAATTAGGTTAAAGTAAATGGCCAGTAATCTAATCTGTTTCTGAGTGGTGATTAGGTTGACTACACCCTAGTCACTTGGGAACATGCAATATGGGAAACTTAAGGAAACAGAACCGTGAGTTACTCCTAACATGCTCTGGACTCTCAAGCTCCTGGATCTTCAGCATGTGTGGGATGCTCTCTTGATAATTAGAAACATGCAAGCTGTAGTTTTCATATGAGATCATTATCTACTTCATCTACATGTCCAATTGAAGCTATACTTTTCATATTAATCAAGAAAATTTGCTATTGGCCTGACATTCCAAGTTTTTGGTGGCTAACAAACTGAAAGTTTGACTTCAGGTGGGTTCCTTTTGCCATTGCTAAGCCTTTGCTTGATAGAAAGCCGTATGTTGTTCTATCGGATTTTTCCACGTTACAAGATAGAGAGTCCTTGCCGCCGCATGTTTCTGAAGATGTCATGGAAGTGCAACATGATGACATTGGGAAAGAAGACACTAATGATTTCCTTATGTATGACGATGAGGGGATGATGGAGCCTGAATATGGAAGCTCAGACAACGAACAACATCTGGCATCTGTTGATGTAGAAGATGGAGATGTCAGTAACATTTTAATCGGGTTGACGGGATCTCGTGTGAAATTCAAGGTATGTGTACTCAATTTTTTTATTGTGTTCATTGAGCATGTCTGAAATTTTCAGATACCTGATTTAAAACTACTTAAGCTTCCCACCCAAATCCAACCCCTTTCTTGTCTTCATGGTTATGCCACTGTGTTTCTTGAAGGATCTAAAGTTTGCTTTTCGCCCGTCGGAAAGGAGTTACTTGGAGTTCCAGCTGCGTAGATATATGAGAGTTGTAGGTGAAGGCCTGGCTGAGCGAATGGTTTATTCACTTGAGTGATTTGGCTGTTCTTACGAGCCTTCATTAGATTTCATCACATATGAAACATTATATATTGTAGTTGGAGCCGACTCTTCTGCTTGACTCAATGTCTGGTCATTTTAGCCGGGGCTAGAAGCGAGAGCCAATCTCGAGTTTCCCCATATTTTGAGTTGGACACTTGTTTGCTGTTCCGTGGCTTATGTTCTATGGTCAATACAGACTCCTGCCCCAGATTCATATTGCAGTTTGTATGTTTTTCTTGATGTCAAGTCAATCTGTTTGCATCATGTCTCTATTGAAACGAATGGGGTTTTCAGATTCAAAATCTAGACACAGCATCACACGTGTTTTCCTGGTACATGATAGCTTTCCTCTATTTAAGACATCCATTATGCTTTGTAAATTTGTCTGAGTTGCGTAAAATACAAAGCTTGCTTGCTTTGCCTTTCAGAGCAGTCGTCGCATATTGTGATTCGTTTGTGTGATTAGTTTACCCATTTTTTACTTTCACCACATTGTATAAAACAAAAGGGGCAGTAAAAGGACAAAAAGCTTTTCACAGGCTTGCCCACTTGAATGAGATGCACAGGCAACCATAAGAGAGTCGATACAAAAAAATTTGAGAAAAATGTTGAAGTCATAAAATGATAAAGAATGACGCCCATAAAGATGATTTTGTAGCTGTAGGCTTCGTAGACCTAATTTGGTCAGCATCTGTTACGCAGGAAGAAAAAAAAAATCGTAAGAGCATCTCCATCGCAGGGACTTTAGCCAGGGCAAGAGGCCCATTTCCTCGGTTTTGGACCTTCAGCGCAGCACCTGCAGCCCGGGCAAGCCCAAGGGCAGATCTTGCTTGGGCTTCAGTCCAAGGGTGCTAACGTCAGCGAGTAAAAAAAAATTGAACAAAATGGAACAAAATCAAAATCAAAATTTTTTTAAAATAAAAAACCAAAAAATTATGGATGTTTTCCTTATAAATACATAAATAATTTATTCACTTTCTCTATAAATACATAACAAGTTTATATTTTGTTGCATATATATTTTTTTCTTGCCCTTACCCTAGGCTTTTGGGGTGGAACCAACCCCAAAAGGCAAGGCTGCCACTATTCATGTGAATAGTAGCAGCCCTTGCCTTGCCTTGCCTTTGCCTTGACATGCTCTAACAAGGATATCATTGTTTTGTCATCTCCGTTCAATAACACAATGACACGTGGAAAAGTTATCCCACATGTCATTGTGTTATTGGCTAGGGATGGTAAAAAATGTTATTCCTGTTGCATGAGTTTCTCTCGTTACATAGGCTACCGAATTATTGGTTTGGTAGTTGCCCTTCCACAAATTTTCAATATGCAAATGGAAAAATACTAAAAAGAAAAAAGAAGAAAAAGGTGGATGGTTTATAATTATTTACGCAGCAGGAGGATTTTCAAAGCGACATCAGCCAACTTTTTTTCTTTTTTTTTCCCGCCATATTCTTGGGAATAGTTTCGAACGATGGCAATATTGCAATTTGCAACACCAGTGCTTCCATCACACAACTGTTAACCAAATATTTAATAAAAAAGAGTTCTTTTTACAACACAGACCTTTTAAGAGCAAACATAATTTGGAATCAGATGTATTATTTTGAAAAGAGGCTGCATTAAGAGCAAACTGAATCGAATTTGAACACAATCAAATGTTTACATTTAGATGTTATTGAAGGTAAGTTCAGATAGTTGCCGAAATGAGGAATTAAGAGCTTAATAATTCACATGAGTAGAAGAAGAAGAAGAAGGATGAGATTCAAAGAATGTACAATTGAATGTGAAAAAGGGTAAGCATCAAACATCATCTGCATCACTGCTTCCAACTTGTGCTTCATGACTGACCCAATAATTGCTTCCGTCAGGCCCCGACATCTTAACCCTGCTCAAGAATGAAACTCACAACCTTATTTTTACCGAACTGAATTAGATTGGAATTCAAATTTTGTTTCTCCATATGACTCTACTACTGACCGCTCAAGTACGGATTTTCCTTCCTTGTACCTCTGGCTCTTTTCGTGGGCAGTCTCCTGAAAGAAAACATCAAAACCAATAACAGCAGAAAACAAGTATACGTAAATAATGACAATTCTATTCATGCCTCATAATCTTACATATTTCCACCCCACTATTGATCCACATCCAACACAAAAAATGTCAGCAACAGTGTGCAACCCTGTCATCATCATTCTCTCTTCTTTCTCTCCGGAAGTTACGTTCACTCTGTAAATGATTGGAGATGCGAATCACATATCTAAAAGCAACTCATTGCAATCATATACTGCTTAATGACAAATCTTGTTGAGTGAGCTTGCAAATGAGAACGCCCATGATGATTATCAAAGATTATCCTATTTCAGACTGCAATATCCACATCATTTCATTCGACTTTCTGCTGTGTTCAGGCATAATTTGACAGACTACAAATGAAAATTAAGAGTAAGAGACCCAGTGTTTGAAGCTATTGATGGCAGCTCTCTTGCAAAATTTAGTGAAACCAAAACTGACCAGTGCTGTATAAGCAATAAAGCACACATGCAATCAATTAATGTTTCTAATAAATCAAATTCTAGGATGAGCTTGAGACATGCTTTGTGTCTTGATCATGTGTAAAAACATAAACAGAATATTCTTTTACTATTCCAGCATCTGTAACTTCCATGTGGTATCGGCTAACTTCGGTACGGGTTGCTGGTTTACATAAAGTATTCTCCAGTGGATCTAGTCTCAGCATCAGACAAGGAAAAGATGTCCAAATATCAAGAAAAACTTACACCTTACTGAAGAGATAAGCCTTCCCATGCCTGCAGTGGAAAGACTGAATGAAACACAGGCAAAACATGTAGTCAGACAATGTGCTTCCATTCCAATAAAACTACCAATCAACATTTGTTGGACACTCCAAATGAAAAGGGAAAAAGAAGTGGCAACTACATCAAAGAAGAAAAAGAACAAGCCTTAATAATACTGAATGATTATCAAAATAAATCCTAACCGTCATCTTCTTCTACCTCCTTATCTAAAAATTAAAGATAGCACAGACTAGTACCATCTGTCATTTCACTCTACTTAGAGCCCTACCTTATTTTAAATTATATTACTTTGAGACAATACAGGTACACTCATTCATGGACAAATCTTCTAAAACTAGTTTTGTCAGCTGGACACAAAGAGTCCAAAGCTATGTGTCACGAGTCGATCAAAGCTAAAAGAAAACGTGCCAAAACTGAAGGCCATGATCTATTTGTGCTTGGTAAGTTTGAGAAGCACCCGTGGAATTAAAGATGCACTTGAAAGCAATGAACAAGAATTTTTTGGCAGATTTCATACTACTTGAGAATTTGAGTAAGCATAGCAGCCAACCATAAACACTATCTCACATGTGACATGACCAAACTGGGCATACTGGATAATCTCTTTCCAGTAGCATGGCCCTCAGAGAGGGCTGGGAAATACCCCAAATTCTAACCGCTATATCATAAGCCACCATGTCCTCTCTCAGTTGAAAAGAGGATAAGGCTTCAATTTAGTTCTAGCTGTCTTCTTTATTAAAAACTAGTATCAAGTCCTTTTTGCATTCCCGCAAGAGAAATAATTAATGCAGCATTATTTTTGTCCTGGATACAAGTTCTACCTTATGATATAGGATCCAAATGCCTTAAAACATCCCTTTCCTCATTAATCAATAAATTTCAACTAACAGATACGCTACTGTGAATGTGGTAATTAAATATTCAACACAAATCTAACTATTAAGCTCACCCAAAAAAAATATATATATACAATTACCATTTAAGAACTATGAGAAACAATAAGGGAATCAACTGCATACTTAATGAGATCTTGTGCTAATGATTATCAAACACCAAATTAACCCTCTTTTCATCACATTAATGTTGCCTTACAGTTCAAGTTAGACAAAACCAAATTCCAAGAGTAATTAAAGGAACATAAATTCATAATCACAAAAGCAGACTAACTAATACATTTGAGTCTTCGACCCAGGATACCATCAAACAGCATACATATTATCTTCCAAGGGAAAAAAACAGAAACAGGCAACAATTCATCAATACCCCTATGAAAATTTAAGCAGAATATCACAGAAAAGAATAAACTTTGACTGATCAAAGCTGGAGAGAGATCAAATTAACAACCTTGGAAACTATATCCTCACAAAGAGCTAGATGTGTTCGGCAGTGCTTGCAGCTATAGATCTTCCCCTCAAGACTCTGCACAAACAACCTTCCCATGTCTCCACTATGCACCCAAAATTTTCTTAACCAGCAAAAATTCGAAGACAAAATGAAGATTCAGATAAAGGGTCGTCGTTAAAATCAAAGAAAACCCAAAAGAAGATTGATATGGAAGAGATGAATCTACTGCGCGAGAAGAAATGGAAAACAAAGCCAACGGAGAAAGAAAAGGCAGATGCAAGAAAGGGAAAAGAGAGACAGGGAAAGAATTGCTTGAATATTTATTTACCTTTGCCTGTTATTGTTTCTGGTGCAGTCTGTAGTTGCAAGAAATGTGGACCTGAGCTACCACATTTTCACAAATAATATCACTTTTATGTTAAAGTGGCAACCTGACAAGACGTGTATACTACGGTTTTTTTTCTTTTTCTTTTTTATGGCCCTTTATGCAATAAAATAGCCTCTCTTCAGTTTTTTTTGCTTTGTTGGAAAAATAAATTCGTATTCATAGTTTTGTTGGTTTTGCAATTGTCACCTCTGTTTTCTGCATATTTAGAATTACACCAACACATTTTTTAAATTTCATGTATGTTTTGGTTATATAGGAAACTGAAATCATCTGCATTATTGTTTTGGTTAGGTAATGCTTATGCTTCACAGACAAATGAATGATACTGCTTAGAAAATGAGGTCTCCAAGAAAGCGTCAATCACGTGGACACTTGCAATTAGAAGCTGTTCTTTCCTTGTCACGATCGCCAGCACTAATTATTATGGTTTTTTTTTCTTTTCTTACAGAGCGAGCAACTTGTTTAAACAAGTTTGCTAACTTGTTTAATCCTCGTCTCGTCTGTGAAGAAACTTTTGACATTAATTTCTTGCAAGAAAGAGTGGTAAACAAGCTTTTCCATTTTTTCTGTTTTAGAAATGGCGCATCAAGCTTTTGGAAAAGAGAAACGTGTTGCCATCTCCCAAAGGCCCTTCATAACTTGACAAAGACAAATTCAAATTGGTACCTAGCCAAGATTTGAGTCATATTTTTCAAGCTATACCTAGTTAGTTCAGTTTTATTTAAGCTTCTCCAAATAAAAATAAGTTAAAAGGAATTAGATGCGAATATGTTGAGTGAGGCTTGCAAAACTCCAAGGGTAGTGGAAACCAAATTTGGACCCCCTTTATCAAGTTATTTATATGCTATTAGTGGAGAGGAGATGAGAGGGTGGGTGGGAGTGTGACACGCATTAACAAGCCGACCCCATTGGGCATTTTTATACTCTATGCTGATGAGATACTTTTAGGCATCTAGCACCCACTAAAATTGCAAAGAAATGGTTATACATAGATTGTCAAATCTTAACCAACTGCTTTATTATATTATGAACAATAAATCAATTCACTGTACATATGGCTGGAGTTTAGGTGATAGCTTCATAGAAGGGAAGCTTCCTATTCTCTAGGGATGTGCAAGATTCAATTTAATTCAATTTAATTTTAATCTGTTTCGATAATTTGGTGAATTGGATTGAATCTGTAATTTTCAAAACCAACATGATTGGATCGAATGACGGATTTGTTCATGAGAATCCAATCAAATCCAATTCAATCTAAGTTAGTTTTATGCTTATTTTGCTCTTGTAGGTGTTTTGTAATTTAAAAGTTATGACTATTTTAAGTAATTTAATATATTATATAATCAAAAGAATTTTATCTATTATTTTATTCGTATTTTACGCTTACGTCTATTAATATGTTTGGTTAGATTAAACCTAAGGATAAATGTTTAATATTTCATTAGTCTTTTTCCATTATCAAAACCAATCATCCAATCCAATAACAATTAGATCATATCAAATTGGATTTAAACATCTCATATGATGAATCAGATTGAAAAAATCACAATCCAATCTATATTGAATCAGATGCGAATTGACTACATTGCATTGGTTTCAAATTGACGTACACCCCTACTCTTCTCTGTCATTGTACAAGTCCTTGAACCTAAAATAAGCACAGAGGCTACAATGAGGGGTTAATAGTTAGGGAAAATAATGAGGGGGTCGTTAATAGTCGCCCGATTAAGTGCATACTTATTATTGGACTGCTGGATTTTACCCCCTCATTATAAGAGCACTTTCAGTGGCAAAACACATCCCACCAAGCAAATCCAGTTCGAGCAAGAGGTGGGCTCCACCAAGACTGAGCAGGTCCGCAGGCAAGATCAGCCTGAGCTACTGCATGAGGGCAATGACATCACATCAACAAAGAAAAAAATTGATCTCATTCGTATAAATAAAATTAATCCCATGTAAATAGTAATTGCCCTTGCGTTGTCATGACAATGGGTGAAAAGCAAAAAAATAAAAATAAAAATTGCTATAATAGATACTATTTACATGAACAATAACCACCCTTACTTACCTTTTTTTAAAAAAAAAAGGATGAAGACCTTGTCCTTTTTCATGACAAATAAGCGAAATTACTCTAACCCCTCAACATATAAAAGCCCCCCATTATAGTGCTAAAAATCGTCCTTGAACCCACTGCCCAATGATTCTGCGAGTTGTAACTGGAGGTTTTACACTTTCCTTGCTGAATTCCGGCGTTTGGAGGCGTTATTCAGAGTTTGTGATTGAAATTGGATTCGTCGTCAAGCTAACGGTGCTGCTGATGCTGCCGCCAAGCTAGCCAAGAGGAGGTTGCGCTCTTGCAATTGGGTTAATATTCCCCCACCCTCCCTAGTTTCTGTACTGTTGAGTGATGGCTTGCCAG